TAAATTGTAAAATTTAATGACTCAACCAGGGGTATTTAAGTTGAGTTTGAGGACCTGGGTCATCAAGGAAAGAGGAGTCGATCTCACGTGACAAAGGGGGTTTTCCTTATCCAAACTGTGGCGATGAGATTCCAAGATAGAAAATTAGAGAATAATAAAAGACTACTATGAGCATTTATTTGCTAACAAGTTCAATAACCTAGAAGAGATAGACAAATTCTTAGAAATATAAGGAGGAAATAGAAAACCTTAAAATACCAATTACAAGCAACAAAAATGAAACAGTAATCAGAACACTCCCAAAAAACAAAAGTCCAGGACCAGATGACTTCACAGGTGAGTTCTACCAACCCTTCAAAAAGGAACTAAAACCTATCCTAGCTGGAGCAATTGGGTGAGGGAAAGATTGGGGAAGGAAAATTAAAGCTATAATTGTTTGTAAATGACTTAATGATAAACAGAAAACCCTTAAAGACTCCACTAAAATATTAATTGAAACAATATATTAGTTCCATAAAGTGGTAGATTACTAAATTAATGTACAAAATTACATGCCTTCCTAACTGCATACATTGAGCTAGAAAGAGAAGAAATTAAGAAAAATAATCCCATTTACAGTTGCATCAAAAATAATTAAACCTAGGGGCCTCCCTGGTGGCGCATGGGTTAAAGACAGCACTATCAATCTATCACCAGACACTGCAGCATGAGTTTGATTCCCAGCTGGCTAGGGAGTAACCCCCACATGGCACAGCAGACCTCTCCTGCCTTGCTTGCTGCTCCCTTCAGCAGTGTGTTTCAGTAGATCTACCTGTTCTGCTCCCCACTCTCTGGTGAATCCTCTCACCCACCACACCTCTGGCCTACACCCCAGTTCTTGTATGCATAAATAAATAAATCTTTTTTTTAAAGATTTATTTATTTTTATACAAGAACCGGGATGCAGGCCAGATGCACGGGAGGGTGAGAGGATTCACCAGAGACAGAGTGGGGAACAGAACAGGCAGACTGACGAAATACACTGCTGAGGGGAGCAGCAGGCAAGAGAGGAGAGGTCTGCTGCGCCAGGTGGGACCCTTGCTGGCCAGCCAGGATCGAACCGGTGTTGCAGAGGCTGCGGACAGCTTCACAGCACAACGCTCAACTGCCTGTACCACGAGAGGAGGGCCAATAAATAAATCTTTTTTTTTTTTTAATTAAACCTAACAAAGGAGGTGAAGGTTCTGAAGGTAAAACAAAAACTATGAGATGGTAAAAGAAATAGAAGAAGACACAAAGAAATGGAAGATATTCCATGCTCATATATTGGAAGAATATTGTTAAAATGGCCATCCTACCCAATGCAAAATACAGATTCAGTGCAATCCTTGTCAAGGATTCAATGACATTCTTCTCAGGTATTGTACAAACATTACTGAAATTCATATTGAACTGCAAAAGATCCAGAATAGTCAAAGCAATATTGAACAAAATAAATAAATAAAAGGATGAATGAAGGTATCATACTCCCAAACTTATAGCTATACTACAAAGCTATAATAATCCAAACAGTATGGTACTGGAATAGAAATAGATACCTAGACCAATGAAGCAGAAATGAGAACCCCAAAATAAACCCACACATATACAGTCAATTAATTTACAACAAAGGAGCTAAAAATACACAATGGGGAGAGAAAATCCTCATCAATAAATGGTGTTGGGAAAACTGTACAACTGCAAAAGAATATAACTAGACCACTATCTAACACCATACAGAAACCTAAATGGATAAAAGCTTTGGATGTAAGACCTGAAACTTAAAATATATGGTAGAAAACATAGACAAGACACTCCATTGCCTAGGCATCAGAGATGTCTTTGTGGATCCATTTCTAATAGTAAGGATAACAAAAGAGAATATAAACAATTAGGACTATATCAACTAAAAAGCTTCTGCACAGTGAAGGAAATTGTCACTAAAAAACAGGGACACCCTAATGAATGGGAAAAATGTATGCACACCATACATCTGACAAGTGGCTGATATCCAAGATCTATGAAGAATTCATACAACTCAACAAAAAGGAAACAAATAACCCAATCAAAAAATGGGCAAAGGAGTTAAATAAGCATTTTTCTAGAGAAGATATGCAGGTGGCCAATAGGCATATGAAAAATTGTTCGTCTTCACCTCTCAGGGAATGCAAATCAAAGCCACAATGAGGTACCGCATCACATCTGTGTAAATAGCCCATATCAAAAAGATGAGAAACAATGCGTGCTGGGGAGGGTGTGGGGAAGGGAACCCCCTACACTGTGGTGGGAATGTGGACTGGCACAGCCCTGTGGAAAGCTGTGTGGAGGTTTCTCAAAAGATTACAAATGTATCTACCATGTGGCCCAGCAATTCCACTCTTATATCCACTTTTATAGCTACTGAAATAATATAAAAACACTAATTTGAAGGGGAATATGCACTCCTATATTCACTGCCACGCTGTTTACAATTGCCAAGCTAGGGAAACAACGTACATGCCCTAGAACAATTGAGTGTATCAGAAAATTGTGGTTTGTATGCAGGATGGAATTCTGTTCAGCCCTAAAAGATAAACTCTTGCTATTTATGACAACATGAATGGAACTTGAGGGGAATATGCTAGTGAAATAAGTCAGAGGGAGGAAGGCAAATCCTGGACAGTGTCACTTACACGTAGAATATTGAGAAAAGCAAAGGGTCAGATAATGCCAAACCAATAACAAACCCTAGAAATCTGACTTAGAACTGAGACTACCAAAGGGTGATGGGGAGGGGTGAGCACAAACTGGGGACGGAGCACAGTGGACTCTGCTGGGAGCCTGGGTGCTTTGTCGCTGAGTGTAGTGTGATAACCACACCGCAAGTGTGAGATCCTATACCTCAGAGACACAAACAGTGTTGTAAACCTTTGTTACTTCATTAAAAGGAATAGTAATCAAAAATAACAGTATACATTTCAGAATTTAGCCATAAATGCTGTGTATAGAGTCTATATTTGTATGTGCTGGGACAAATCTGCAAATGTGGTTTCACATATTCCATAAAAGGTAAAACAAAAACAATGATTATCTGAAGGTCAGATTTCACCCATAGTCTGTTAACTGGGAGTTACTTTATGGTGATATTTGTCAAATGGGGGTGGCCCAGCAAGCTTTTGTGACATTTTCAAAGGATAATGGTCTCTCTGGTGAAGAAGTGATTTTCTTGAATAAACATAAAATAATATTTGTAGTATAAAATTGTTGCAGGGTCCGAGGCCAAGTTGCCCAAGACATCACTCAGAGTAGAGTGGGTTTCATGTGATAGGATGAGCGGATGACCTACTCTTGGTGAGAAGCTTGTAAATCCAGGCACACATTATCCTGCTTGAAGAGAAGGCAGAAGAGACCTTTACACTTCTTTACTAAGTGATTGTGCTGGCCATCACGGGACCTTACCAGCATGCCAGTGGGGGAGCTAGTGCTCTCACATGCATGCACTGGTGTTTTGCTTTTTGTGAGACAAAGCATGGGAGTGGAGCTCGGGCACCACTGGCTTATGTGCCGCACGCATGAATGAGGATGCCTGGCAGCATTTGATTTTTCTCACTGAGAGCTCGTGTTCTAGAAGAGGTTTCATTTTGTCAGGAGTGTTTTGTGGATGCTGGCATCGACTGGGCAGCAGGGGGCCTTGTTCCCCTGCTCGGCAGTGGTCCTCGGGCACGCCCGCCTGCACTCTTCTTCACAGAGAGCACCGGTGGGACCATGGACAACCTTGCTTCAGTGTTAAAGGAGATAGTAAAAGTTGTGACTGATCAAGTCATGGGCACCAAGCATGTCTTGCAGAATGGGCACTATGTATAACTCTGCCTGTCCCCAGGAGACCCCTGGCTCTCAAGGGCTAGGTGCACTCACGAGTGCTTGAATTTGGGGGATTTGAGAGAAATGCTTCTTCATGACACTGGTGAGGCCATCTGTCTGATTTCAGATGTGATCGGGTAGCATTGCTCGTCGATACAGGTGTATCTTGAGGAGCCAGAACTGATGACTTGAGGGGTTAAATATGTGACGTTATTTTTGAGACCATCAGTGTGACAAGATAATATTTTTGGAATAATAACGACCCTTTTATGTTGTTCCTGGATCTCCCCTTACCCTTTGGCTCAAGCCTGGTCATTGTGTGCTGATGACAGCAAACAGCAGAGTATGTTTTGCCTTTTGAGATTCAAAAACCCGGGTCATAGGGTGAACAGAAGCGACTTGACCTGGTCTGTCAGTATAAGATCAGAGGTTCTCCGTAGACAGGGGATGTGTTGGTGACTCAAGAAATGGACAAGAAGGTCAGCAGGGCTCAGAGTGGCCTGGCTGGGCCTGAAGGGACGTTACGAGAAGTTGAGAGGAAGCCTGATGCAGCCCTGGGGAGCTCTCCAGGACCCTGTTTGAGTTGAGTTTCTGGAGCTACCAATGTTTGCTCCTGTTCCTGATACTCTATGAGTCAAAATTTTATGTCTTTTTTTTTTTTAAGACTTAGGTCCTCTAGTGATTTCATATAAATGTACAGTAAAAAAAAAGGTGCAACAAATCTGAATAATTTTAATTTGTGTATTAAAAATCATGTCAATTAAAGCATGCTTACTTTATATTGAACTTTATTTCAATATATCTGTTCTCTAGTCTTGGGATTTTATGACAATCTGCTTAGTCCTGGCAATTTAAAAGCTTTGGTTACTTAGATTTTAAATTACTTTGTATTAGATACTGCATACTTTTTAAGGAACTCAGCATCTTTCCATTTATGAGTAATCTGATTTAATTAAGAAATATAACTGAACTGGTGTGTTCTATATTGATTATAAGCATTTATATTCTTCATTTTAAAGGCTTTATTGATAATAGCCTAAATAATTGGTTCATTAATAGTGCTGAACTATTTTTTAAGCTATAATATTTGCTGGGAGAAAAACCAATACACTAACTTTCAAAAATTTGTTATACAGGATTAGCTGAACCATCCATTCTTGCAAAATATGAAGATAATTTGTTTAAGGATTTATTTCAAAACTATGAAAGATGGGTTCGTCCTGTGGAACACCTTAATGACAAGATAAAAATAAAGTTTGGTCTTGCAATATCTCAGTTAGTGGATGTGGTAAGTGTGCTTAACATTAATATTCAATTTCACAAGGATTTATTTATTTAATTTTTAAAGTTTTATTTATTTTTTTATGCATAGAATAACTGGGATATAGGCCAGAGGTGCAGGGGGTTAGAGGATTCACCAGAAACATAGTGGGGAGCAGAACAGGCAGATTTACTGATACACACTGCTGAGGAGAGCAGCGTGTGAGACAAGAAAGGTCTGCTGCACCATGTGGGTTAGGTCTCTGGCCTGGGATTGAACTCAGGCCGGCCGCAGGGGTGATAGCATGATAGCACTGAGACTTAACCTGTAGGCCACCAGGGAGGCCCCCATGGATTTATTGAGAGTATATTAAATGTGCCAAAGATTACAAAAATGAATGAGACACAGCTCTTTACTCAAAGAATTCACCAGAGAAAATTGATTATTATGCCACAGGCAGGAATATACCATGTTTACATATAGTATCATGTAGTTTACAAATGCTTTTATCTGGTAATTATAATAGGTCTATCTATTTTTACCAAATTCAAAGATATTAAACATTCTATAAGGAAATTTCTTCTTAAATGTGTAAAAAATACAATCAAGATTTTTAAAAAATTAAGATTAAAGAGTTCAAGAATAGAGTCATAGATTATTGGGACGAAAAAGTTTCTCAACAGATCACTGCCCAGTATGACACTTAAAATATTTCAGCTGTTTGTTCATATGACATTCACCAGGGAGTATAAATCCCCATGATAACTCATGCAAAAGAATATTTATATTTAAACTAAGAAGTTCACACTCATTTTCAAACCCAGTTTCTTCTTGTTCTAATCATGTCAATCAATAATTAATTCTTTGCTATGTTCCCAGAAGAGTTGAGAATACGAAGAGTGGGTGTGTATTTATATATACATATATTTAAATAACATCTATAGACATGCTTGATTAGAGAAGTAATGAATATTTTTATAGAGAATTTAGAAAGTACAAAAAAATTTCAACTAGGAAAGTAAATTTTATTACACTTATACCACCCGGAGATGACCAATAATAACAATGTTATATTTCTTACAATTTTTTCTTTGCGTGTATATTACAAAATTTTAAACATAATTTTGATTACTGCTTATTTTCCTACTGTTACATGATGAACACTTTCCTATGTCATTAATAATCTTCAAATGTAATTATTAATGGCTATATAATAGTCCATTTATAATTTATTTAAACCCTCTTCTACTGTTGGCAGTTGTCCCAGTATTTTTCTTATTATAAATGGCAGTGATGAATGTATTTGTCTACAGATGTCTGAATTTCTTCATTCCTAAAGAAAGGCAGTTATCAAAAGACACACTTTTTTTTAAAAGTCTATTGATATGTCATGTAATTGCTTCCACAAAGGTCAATGAATATAGACCATGAACTGGTTCTTTTCTAGAAAAAAAAAGAGAGATTTGAAATATAAATAAAAATGGCAAAGTGGGAAATAAGTGGCGCTTGCTCTCAAAGACCTTTCTTTGTAGTTGGAAATATTGGCACATGAGTGGAACAGCCACGGAACAATGTGGCACTAAATGTGATTCTACAAAGATCTGGGAATTGAGATTATCAAAGAAGGCAGGAGAGGTGAAACTTGAGCCAGTTTTTTTTTTTTTTTCATGTCTGTGATATATTTTTTCAGACAAAACCTCACTATTTACAAACTGGCATTTCCTATTTAATTGTCAAAACTAAGATAGTCATAATGAAACATAATGTTCAGTCCTCATATCAACATCATCCCAATCTTCTTGAAATATTGACTTCTTTGATTTTTTTCCCACTAGAATATTATTATTTAATATTATAACCTATTCTTTTAAACCATAATTGGAGTACAACACTTTTCAGTTAATTTATGATTAATATTTGAAGCAGCCTGACATGTATTCCTAATTTAAAGGGTGCTGGGAAAACTGGGTCGCTACATGCAAAAGAGTGAAGCTTGACGACTACCTCACACTATGCACAAAAACCAACTCAAAATGGATTAAAGAACTAGACATAAAACCTGAAACCATAAAATATATTGAGCAGGTTTTTGAGTGTAAGAACTGACATTCAGACAGGAAAATAATGAATAATGCAAACATAGTGCATGAGTGTTGGGTACAGAAGCTACTGAGCTTTTCATTCAGCTGTTTAGGCCAAAGGCTAAGGGCAGACGCCCCACTGCACAGCAGGGGTACAACCGGGTGGTGGAGGAGGGATTGGTGAGAAGGGAGCCTGTGAACCACTGTGCCTTTTTCCTGCTGTGCCTTCTACTTGGAGAACTTTCCTTCTCAGCACAGGCTGTTTATCCATTGAGACCCACTTCATTTGTCAGACAGACCCTTTGTGAAATCGTTTTGGATTTCCTCAGCCAGCCTGTTGCCTGCTCCAACAGCTTTTGCACTTTAACATGGTGTCCCTCACACTGGCACTGGTGCTCTGCTGTGGCTTCAGCAGAGCTGGGTTAGCTCATGTGTGCCTGTCCTGGAGCCTAGCGTGGTATCTGGCACAGAGTGATGCCAGTAGGTTCTGAGGAGTGAAGGAGAATGGAAATCTGAGAGGCAAGGCAGAAGACAACAGAGAGAAAGGAGCAGAACTTGAATACCCCATATAAAGGGGGCGTCAAATTTTGGTGCCTCGGTGATGAGGAGTAACACATTTGAAAGATAAAATTAGTTGTTACAGAAGAAGAGCAGAAAGAAGAAGCCAAGCAGACAGCTGGGGAAGAGCTGCTTCTTCAGGAAATGTGATGTCAGTGACTCTGGGAGGGCAGAGGCCTGGAGTGGAGGGAGGTGAGGCCATGGACACTGGACACTGAGAACAGAAGTCTCGCTGACTTGCTTCTAAGCTCCTATGTTCCTTTGATTGCTGAGTTCCTTCCCCCTGCATGAGTTCCCCCAACATGAGTTTGACAGCTCTTCTTGAAGTTTTGTCATATTTTTACCTTATTTCCTATTGTCTCTCTTTAAAAATCAGAGGATTGCCTTTTTGTTTTGATTTTATTTTTCACACCAGATTAAAAAAGTTAATGCCCCTAAAACTTTCCTGTGCTATTGTGCGTTGTTGTTAACATTTCTCCACTATTTGTGCTTCCTCTTGCTCAGTTTGCTTTTGTTTTCCCGCATTATGCACCTCACAGATTCCCAGGAGATACTTGAGGTCATCTTCAGTTAGGCAGTACACCTAAGGTAATGCCTGACCCCCACATTTTGGGGCCTAGCTGTGAGTTTATGGATTACTCTTTCGTGTATGTTACTATTTAAGATGCTAAGTATTGGGTATGTGTGTTCACATTTTCTGGGGAAAAGATTTTTAATTTTTATTAGATTTGCAAAGATGACCTGCCATACAACATCACAGGTAGTATGTTTGCCAGAACCTTCCCAATAGTTTCGAACTTTTGCCTAATAAGCATATTCTGTTACAGGATCTGCAGTTACTCTGAGTTGTATGTCACTTTGGGGTGGATAGTGGAGCTGGTGGGATAAGAGTGATATTTCACAGTTTTGTGTTATAATTGGTAGTACGATTTTAGGCAGGTTGCCCATTGGGCCAGTTTCTGTAACTGCAGAGTAGAGGGAATACAGTAGAGAATATATCAAGGCCCTTTCCAGCATGACTGTAAAATTTAATGGAAGAGATGTCACTTTAATTAGGCCACGATAATTCAATGAAAGGCTGGCAAAGCAAAGCTATTACAACAGGAAGGTCATGTAAATGGAAAGTACCAAGAATCCCTGATTTTCTAGAAAAGGAGGATATTAAAGCTCTATGAAATTACTATTTAAAGTTATGACCACAGTTTTTATTTTTTTTCCTTTACATAGCAACTCCACAGAGAGATGCAAATTCTTGCCTCAGTGAAGGAAAATGACTAGAAGTTATAGTCCCTCAGGGATACACGGGGACAATAATGTCCCTGGTTCTAAATGTTCACTTCATCACATTTTTGCACTTCTAAAATCAAGATGTATCTTGCAATTAACAGCAGCTTACAATTCATTGTCATCCTTTTCCTTTAAATCTTAGTACCAAGTACATAAAATAGTGCTGCTTATTTCTTAAATTGCATCTTAGACTTGAGAAAACATAGTACATAAAACTATCAATATTAATTCTTAAAAATAACATACTCTGTATTTCTAAACTGCTGTATTTTTTCATATTTTTCATATGCCTGTTGGCCATTTGAATTTCCTCTTTGGAGAAGTATCTTTTAAGTTCTTCTGCCCATTTCTTGACTGGATATTTACTTTGTTTTTGTTGAGCCGTGTGAGTTGAGCACAGTGCTGTGAAGCTTTCGCAGCCTCTGCAGCATGGATTTGATTGTATTTCAGGTTAGAAATACAGAGTATGTTGTAAGGGATAATGTAAAATCAGGCTGGAATAAAGATGTGCCCTTCTAGAGAACTGGACAGATCAGCAGAATACAGGTACTATATATGGAGAGAAGTATTTGCATAAAAATGAGAAAATTCTTTTGAATCAATGTTTTTGTGTGCTTTGGGTAGATCCCTACGAGTGGAATTGCCAGGTCTCATGGTAGCTCCATTTTTAGTAGACTGAGGAACCTCCAGACAGCTCTCCACAGTGGTGGGACCAGTTTGCACTCCCACCAGCAGTGCAGGAGAGTTCCTTTTTCACCGCATCCTCTCCAACATTTGTTGTTGCTTGTTTTTTTGATATGTGCCATTCTTACTGGTGGTAACCTTACAGTGTGGTTTTGATTTGCATTTCCCTGATTATCAGGGATGTTGAACATTTTTTAATATGCTTGTTGCCATTTGCATTTCCTCTTTGGAGAAGTATCTTTTAAGTTCTTCTGCCCATTTCTTGACTGGATGTTTACTTTGTTTTTGTTGAGTAGTGTGAGTTCTTTGTATATCTTTGTGATCAGTCCCTTATCAGTTGTATGGAGTGCAAAGATTTTTCCCAATCAGTAGGGTGTCTCTTTGTTTTGCTTATGTTTATTGCAGCACTATTTACAATAGGTAAAACTTGGAAACAACCCAAATGCCCAAAAATAGATGACTGGATCAAGAAGATGTGGTGTATATATATATATATACACACACATACATACACACACAATGGAATATTACTCAGCATTCAAAAAAGATAAACTCATGACATTTGCAGCAACGTGGATGGAGCTAGAAGGAATTATGCTCAGTGAAATGTCAGAAGGGAAAAGAAAAATATTGCATGGTTTTACTTATAGCAGGAATATAGGGGAACCCAATAAGACATCAGTGTAAAAAAATAATCACAGTACAAAACACAACAAAGCAAAAACAGACAATTATAAATCAGAGACATCCTGCAGGGGAGGAGGAGGGAGAGGGATCAGAGGGAGAGAGGGAGGAACACAGGGACTGAGGTGATGGTGCACGGGTGCCTTGGAGAAGGAAACTCTATGGGGGCTACACCTGAGGGGGTGGGGGGAAGCAAATATTGTTTAAAATGAACAATGATGTGGGCCTCCCCACTGGCGCAGCAGGTTGAGCACAGCGCTGTGAAGCTGTCCGCAGCCTCTGCAGTGTGGGTTCGATTCCCACATGGCGTGGCAGACCTCTCCTGTCTTGCCCACTGCTCCCCTCAGCAGTGTATTTCTATCGTCTGCCTGTTCTGTTCCCCACTCTGTCTCTGGTGAATCCTCTCACCTTCCTGCGCCTCTGGCCTGTGCCCCAGCTTTTGTATAAATCTATAAAGAAAAAAAGAAAACAAAAGGACAATGATATAAAAAATTTTTAAAATTATAAATTTAAAAAAAGAAAAAAATGAGAAAACTCTTATCTCAAGAAATCAGTTTCTGCAAAGGAAATAATCAGTCTTAACTTTTAATTTTATAGGACGAGAAAAATCAGTTAATGACTACAAATGTCTGGTTGAAACAGGTATGTATAAATTTCAAAGGCCACCCTACTGGTGACTGGTACCACTCTATTATAAGGTTTGTAGCACAAAGGAACATAAGTATGCAGTCTCGATGGATGGGATGGATGCAGAATGCTGAGGGCAGGTGGAGTTCTCGTGTTCATTCAGTGAATGTTACTTGGGCGCCTGCTCTATTACTGGGAGAGAGCAGTGAACAGTCAAAAGGCCCTGTCAGCAAGGAACTTTATTCTAGTGGAGAAAAGTGAACAACATGTGTGTGCTGTTCCTTAGAAGTACTTAAATTGGGAAGTTGGTAGGGAGCATTGGGGCTTGTGCTTTTAAATTGAATGGTTGGGGAATTCATCACTGAGGAGGTAATGTTTGAACAGAGACGTGAAGAAGGCAGGCCTGTGAGTATCTAGGGGGAGAAGTATTTTAGGCAGCAGAATCTGAAAGTGCAAAGTCCCTGAGGCGGGGGTGCACCTGGCAGCAAGGAAGCCGGTGTGGCCAGAGGTGAGTAAGCACAGGAGGGGTGCAGGAGATGAGTTCAACAAAGAAACAGGAGGCCAGTGGTTGACGTTGCATATACCAGTGGTGGCTCACAGGTCACTGTGAGGATTCTGACTTTCATTCTGAGATAATGATGGGCAGGAATATAATAACTTCTTTTTATGTACATAAAGGAGTTCCTTTTTTTCTGGGCCATCATACATAAGTCCTCACCTCTTGTTGTTTCCTCTTGTTCTTTCTTAGCCCTAAATTTTAATGTCTATGACATTAAACTCCTAAAGGGTGTTTATGCTTTTTTGTTGGGGTACAAGGCATCATAGAACTGCTACTCTATAGAGGTTGGACAAGATGTTTAAATATGGGGCACGTGTGTTAAATCCAACTCCCCCTGGGATAAGCCAGTGTGGCCCGTGACAACAACACCTGGGAAACTGTTTTCTTTGTGTCTGGGTCTTAGAGGCCCATGGCTGCAGCTCCTGGGCCCAGTCACTTGGTGGGGGAAGAAGTGCTGGGCTGCTGTGGTCATGCCCAGTTCTGGTGTTCACCTGTTGGGCACAGGCCCTTGGCTAGTGCCCTTCCCAGGGACAGAGCTCTGCTGTAGTAGCCATAGGAAGGCCTTGGAGGTGAGTTTTCTCTGCCAGGAGTAGAGATGATTTCATGCTTAAAGTTTCTAGGTTTGTACAACAGAGTACAGTTTTCACTATTAATTTTATTGAAACTGAGGCATATTTCTTTGTTTTCAAGGAATGGGTAGATGTAAAGTTAAGATGGAATCCTGATGACTATGGTGGAATAAAAGTCATCCGTGTCCCTTCAGACTCTCTCTGGACCCCAGATATTGTTTTGTTCGATAAGTAAGTTCTATTTGAAGCACCGTTTTATGTTTTCAAAAGAAAGTACTTGTTTGATTACTATTGACACTAGTAATTTTTTCTCCCTTTTGGGAATTATTTAGCTATAAAATCAAATGTCTTCATCATACGCTCTTTTGCTTCATGAAACTACAGGTAGGTAGGTTCTGTGGATCTTCTTCCTTTGTTGGTGTATTGTCTTCTCATCACAAAAGTCCTTGATTTCTAAGATTTGTATGACTTTTGGGAAATCAGAAATGTGTAAGGAGGGGGAGAGGCATTGCCAATAATCAGTCCCATTATCCAGTCACTTAGAGGCAGCCACGTTATCAGCTCGCACCCGTGAGGCTGCTCTGCACAGCCATGCGCTCAGCACCTTCTGGATGTCATGCTATTTGGCTTTCAGGATAAGCTCATGACCTTGTGACCTCAGCCTAACGGATGAGGAGACAGAGGCTGAAGGAGGGTATACCTGGTCCAAGAGGACACAGCTCACTAGGTCACATATATGAGGGGGGATTCACACCAAGGCCGCCCGCACGCCTCATTCCCCTCTCACTTACTAGGCTGCATATTTAGTAGACCGCCTTCCAGATTTTGGTTTTGGTGTGTTTTTTAAATAGTTGAGGTCATTATACTTTATGTTCAAATGTGCATCCTTCTAATTGGCAACAATACTGGCAACACTTTTCCCACAATGAGGAACATTGGGTCAATAATGAACTCATACCATGTGTCTCTATCACACATATATTGTGTTGAAGATGGTTTTTAACTTTCAGGAAGAATAATTCTAGATATGACATTCATTTTTTTCTAGGACCACTTCGGGGCACGTGTGGGAATTTTTATTTATCCTGAAGCACTTTGTGTTACTTGCAAGAAGGCACTCGGCTTGAGAAAAGAGCAAATATTAAGCAAAAATGCCTTATTCTTTTAAAATCTTTGCCTCCGTACTTCTCCATGTGTGAGGAGTAAGCCAAGCTGTAAGGGGCACGATGCAGCTTCCTGGAGCATCATCACTCTTAAGTCATTAGAAATGATTTTCATGTTAGACTTGGATATACTACAAAGTAGTGTGCAAAGTTCACATAAATCTTAAGAACAGTATTTCAGAGAACTCTGAATTCTCAGGATTCTGTAAAATTGGGAGCAGAAGTGAAAAACAGGTTCAGTTTTACTGGAGTTAGATATTCAGTGAGTCTCCTATGGGGTCAAGTATAAACATTCCAAAGGTATTTCACATTCTAGGAAAGGCTTTCTTTCATACTAGACTTATAGAACGCACGTTTGGGCCGTTTAATCTCTGCATTGCTATTTCAGTGCTGATGGACATTTTGAGGGCGCCGGTACAAAAACAGTCGTCCGGTTCGACGGCTCTGTGACCTGGACTCCGCCGGCAAACTACAAAAGTTCCTGCACCATAGATGTCACGTTCTTCCCATTCGATCTCCAAAACTGTTCCATGAAATTTGGCTCTTGGACTTACGATGGGTCCCAGGTTGACATCATTTTAGAGGACCAAGATGTAGACAAGAGAGATTTTTTTGATAACGGAGAGTGGGAAATTGTGAGTGCAACTGGAAGCAAAGGAAACAGAACCGACAGCTGCTGCTGGTATCCGCATGTCACTTACTCCTTTGTCATCAAGCGCCTGCCCCTGTTCTACACCTTGTTCCTTATCGTGCCCTGCATCGGCCTCTCACTGTTGACTGTCCTCGTGTTCTATCTTCCTTCAAGTGAAGGCGAAAAGATTTGTCTCTGCACTTCAGTCCTTGTGTCCTTGACTGTATTCCTTCTTGTCATTGAAGAGATCATACCCTCATCCTCCAAGGTGATCCCGCTGATCGGAGAGTATCTGGTGTTCACCATGATCTTCGTGACCCTGTCCATTATGGTGACTGTCTTCGCCATCAACATCCACCATCGCTCTTCTTCAACACACAACGCCATGGCTCCATGGGTTCGCAGGATATTTCTCCACAAGCTTCCAAAATTGCTCTGCATGAGAAGTCATGTCGACAGGTACTTCCCTGAGGAAGAGGAAACTGAGAGCAACAGTCGGCCAGAATCTTCGAGAAACACTTTGGAAGCTGCACTTGATTCTATTCGTTACATCACCAGCCATGTCAGGAAGGAGAGCGATGTCCGTGAGGTGTGTGTGTGTGTTATAGACGCTGGCTGGCTCGATGCACCTAGGCAGACAGCACTGCCCTTCTGCGCATGCATAGATTAAGGGCCAGAAATGTTGACATATTGCTCTATAAAAGATCTTTACTGCAAGTTGATGCAGTTAAAATGTCTGTAAAATGGGGCTCCTACACAAATCTTACTTCTCTGTTTCCTGATGGTGTCTTGGATAACTTTTTTTTAAATTTTATTTTATATATTTTTTACATCATTTTTCATTTTTGCACAATATATGCATTTTCATCTTGGTTATAGTCCCCGTACAATTCCCACCACCTTTGTTTTGATCCTACTCCCCGCGCCCCCCTAGTGTGTCCCTGGTTCATAGTTGCTTGTTGATTTTGATTTTTACTTTATTATAATTAGTCTTCTTCCTAGTCCTTTATTTAGGTTTTCTAAATTCCTGCTATGAATGAGACCATCCAGTATTTTTCTTTTTCTTTCTGGCTTATTTCACTGAGCACAATCCCTTCTAGCTCCATCCATGTTGCTGCAAATGGCATGAGTTTATCTTTTTTGATTGCTGAGTAATATTCCATTGTGTATACATGCTACATCTTCTTGATCCAGTCATCTATTTTTGGGCATTGGGGTTGTTTCCATAGCTTAGCTATTGTAAATAGTGCTGCTATAAGAAAATGTAGTGTTATGCTGACTGGTCTCTTTTAAGGAATGGTAATTCTGACGTGTGGTTTTTGACTCGGACATGATTAACTTTTATCTTCAGCGACTTTGTTTCTGAGTTCTGTGGTGATCTACTGGCACAACTGCATTATCATTTAGCAGATGATAAAAGATTTAACATTTATCTTTTATTTTTTAAAGAATGAATCTAATGCAAACTTTATAAGCAGAGCCAAAATATTTGTCTATGTTTTTGTTCACTTATTTACAAGAGAATGTTAGTCAAATTAAAGACAGTGAGACCTTCTCATATCTTATATATCAAAGTAGTCATATAATGCTTAGTAATGGTGCTTAATGATATGATTGATTTGCATAAAATATGTTTAAGATTTTATTATAGAAAAGTAACTTTCATTGACTCCTTATCTAAGTTTAATAGTTAAAAATGCAAGAATTGAATATGAGCACACATTATGTGATCATACTGGACCAGGTTTTCTTTCAAAACAAAATTTCAATCTTGTCACTATTTTATTGTGTAATATTTTTAAATATTTATAGTATTAATCTAGTAATATCTTTAGAATGGAATTTAATTTGAATAGTTTAATTAAAATTATATGAATTTCTAGAGCTTTTTTAAAATAGAAACATTTCCAGGAGATGTCATAGCAGATGAAATGAATCTAGTAAATTAACAGAACTTCCACCAACATATTTGTATATAGGAAAAATAAAAGACTTTAAAAGGTTTATTATAGGGCCTCCCTGGTGGCACAGAGGTTAAGACACAACCTGTGATGCTATCTGCAGCCTCTGCAGCACGAGTTCAGTCCCCTGGCCAGGGAGATACCCACATGGTGCAGCAGACCTCTCCTGTCTCGCCTGCTGCTCCTCAGCAGTGTACTTCGGTCAATCTGCCTGTTCTGCTCCCCACTCTGTCTCCAGTGAATCCTCTCACCCCCCTACACCTCTGGCCTATACCCCAGCTCTTGTATGCATAAATAATCTTTTTAAAAAGGTTTATTATAAAATATCCAAGCACTATATTTTTTAATTTTATGAAAAACCTATTAAAATAAACCTCTTGTTATGTATTACAAATCAATGGTGTATAAATTGTGTAGTGTGTTTAACAGCTGGAAGGAGACTACCTTGGAGGTCATCAGGGTTGTCCCTAGCCCTGAGCTGAGAGTATAGGGTCACTTACTGCTTCAAGGCAGTGATGGGAGACTGAAACTGATGTAGCCGCTGTCTGTGTTATATCTTAATTACATAATTTTTCATTATGTGTTCAATGCCTTTTTATTAATTTTTTTCTTTTTTTTTGTAACAGGTTGTTGAAGATTGGAAATTCATAGCCCAGGTTCTTGATCGCATGTTTCTGTGGACTTTTCTTCTGGTGTCAGTTATTGGATCTCTTGGGCTTTTTGTTCCTGTGATTTATAAATGGGCAAGTATAATAGTACCCGTTCATATTGGAAATGCAAATAAATGATATAAAGATATATATTTTATGGCACCAGTAAAATTATGAAAATGTAAACTGTGTTTAAAATTTGACACAATCGGGCCTCCCCGGTGGCGCAGCGGTTGAGCGCTGGGTTGCGAAGCTGCCCGCGGCCTCTGCGGCGCCGGTTCGATCCCCGGCTGCTCCCCGGCCACCGGAGGAGGATCCCACATGGTGCGCAGACCTCTCCTGCCACCCGCTGCTCCCCTCAGCAGTGTACTTCAGTCCTTCTGCCTGCTCTGCTCCCCGCTCTGGCTCTGGTGAATTCTCTCACCCTCCCGCGCTTCTGACTGTACCCAGTGCATGTATAAACAAAACAAACAAATATAATAAATAAATAAATAAAAACATGCCTCTATAAAAAAAAAAAAAATAAAAAAATAAAATTTGACACAATCTTTAACAGATTAACAGCTGCTGGCACTCGTTTATCTGAACGAATTACCCATTAGAACCTCTTACCTGCATGACCAAAGTAGTGACCGTAAGTTGATCTTCTAATAATAGCAAAATATTAACTCTACTAGTAAATATCGAATGTTTGTATCTTGGCAAATACTACTAATTTGTAATCAACAGTGAAGTTCATCTTTTGATTGGGCTGGAAAATTAGTATTGTATTTGAAAACTGATTTCAACTTTTTCTGCATTTGGTAAAAGTACATTTTAAAATTCGGTCATGTATTCACTGGGAATCTTGAGTCTGTTATACTGCTGTATTAAATAAGCTGACTACTTGGTATGATAACAATTTAATGTGAGGCTGCTTATTTATAACTGACACTTAAAAAATGGAAAGTGGAAATTGGGGATCCTTTAAGGCTTACTTTTTTCTTTAGATGCTTAAACAATTATTGTATTAACTGTTTTAACTGTTTTTAACCGTTTTAGCTTACTTTCCATTATAAAGCCATGTAATAGGTAAGTCCTAGGGGCATTTAATAGCATATCTTTAACATTAACTTCAACCTCCCTTTCTACAATAGAACCACCGTCTATATAATTTATGGTAGCAGCTCTTTTTCCTTTATCTTAGAAGAGTCCACAACAATCAAGTGAATATCATTTTTAAAACATGTCTACGGATTCTTTGAGAAAACCATCTTCCAAGACTGAAGATGGTATTCTCATTAGGTATAAGCACATTGTTACCTACCTGTAATGTTTCCATGTTTCTTTCTCTCATTCCAGCAATCAGAATATAAGAATCTTAGAAATGCAAGGGACTTTAGACATACTTATCTGCAGTTTGACTTTCCATGGTTTCAGTTACCTATGATCAATCATGGTCTGAAAATACTCTGCAGAGTAATATATTTTAAGAGGGAGATCACTGTCACATAACTTTTATTATAGCATTTTGTTATAGTTGTTCTATTTTATTATTAGTTATTGTTAATCTCCTATTGTGCCAAATTTTTAACTTTATCATAGGTATGTATGTATAGGAAAAAATGTAATACTGTGTTTGGTACTATTCACAGTTTCAGGCATCCACTTGGAGTCATAGAACATACCCCTGATGAATAGAGGGGATGAGGAGACTACTGTCATCTAGTTTTAGCCTATTTTTACTTTTTCAGTGGAGTACCATGTATGAAAGGGAAATAAGTTAAAATTTATCTCTACATTTTCCTGATTCAGGTATGACCAAAAAAAAAGCACTGATAGAAATCTTGCGTTTAATTTAGAACTGTTAGCTCTTGTAAGAACACATGCCTTATTTATTTACAGTAAACAGTCCATGTAAGTTCAAGTCAAAACTCTGGTAGGCAAAGAGGATCCTTTCTAATTTGCATTTTATTGTAGGTCAGTGTTTAATGCTATTTAATGAGTGGAAGTCTGGCTTGAGAATCTAAATTGCCTATAAGCAACCTTAATGTGTATATATCCCCATCCTTCTTATATCTCTATTACTGTTAAAATTTTTACATGTAAATAATTTTTATTGAAATCTTCCTTTTGATTTATTGAAACATGACTTACATTGGGCCGCAATTTTATTAGTTTTATTTTTGCATAGGGAAATATCTTTGACTAGTGAGAAGACTGAAAAGGTCTCTGTAAGTCATCCCTTGCCAGTGGTTATTTAGACTCAGGAGTGTAGTATGGGATACTCTCTTCTTGAAAAATTTTCTAAAGCACTGGTTCTCAGCAAGGGGAAGTTTTGCTTCTCGGGGAACATTTAAAAATTTTTAGATACAATCTTGCTTTTCATAATTGACAGAGCTATAGGCATATAGTGGGTAGAGGCCAGGGTGTTTATAAAGTCTCCTAACACAGAATTATCATCCTCTCCAAAACGCTAGTAGTGCTAAGCTTGAGAAACCTTATTCTAGATGTTCATGAACAGTGTGTGACTAGGCATAATGCTGATTGTATAATAATTTAGAGTTATACAAAATAAATATTTGCATGGTCCTTAGACTCTTGAAAATGGTAAAGAACAAGAATTACATGGGAAGAAATGGTAGTAATAGAATATTGCAGAAACAGCATAAAACTTCAAGGAAATTTTTGACTAAATATGAAAAACTGTTGGGAAATCTGTTGTGATACTGAACCAAGGGGATGTTCACATTTCTGAAGAGCAAGTTTTTCTATCCAGCAATTCAACCATTGAAAAAAAAAGAAACAGTTTCCTTAGTTAACCCATTTTTACACACTGTTTTTCATAGCATACTACTTATCACAATAGAAAAATTATATTTTGACATTTTTTTAACCTTACCAAAAAGGCTAGTTAAATGTTCATTTATTCATGATAAATGCTCTTGAAATTTTCTTGCATGAATATTTTTTGACAAAATCAAACAACTAGAAAATAAGTAAACTTTAAAATGCCCAAAAAAAGCCCAAACTTGATGATATAAGGTGCATTACAGTTTATTAGTAATGAGTCTAGATGTTTAAGATCTAGAACAATAAAACTCTTAGAATAAAATGACAAAATCTTCATGACATCAGGTGTGACAGTGATTTCTGGGATATGACACAAAAGAAACAGGTTCCAAAATGACAAAATGGACCTCAATGATTTTGCTTTTTAAGTTTGTGCCTCTAATGACACTAGCAACAGAATAAAAAGGCAACCCACAAAATGGGATAAAATGTAACTCATGTATCTGATAAAGGATTAATATTTACATTATATAGAAACCCCTTAATTCATCAACAACAAAAATAATCTGATTCAACAAATGGGCAAGGCAGGAAAAACAAAATTCACAAACCTTTAGCTAGACTCACCAAGAAAAAGAAGACTGAAATAAATCAGAAATGAAAGGAGATGTCACAACTGATACTACAGAAATACAAAAGATCATAAAAGACTACTATGAAAATTTATATCATAACAATTGGACAACCTCAAAGGAATAAATTTCTAGAAACATATAATGTGCCAAGACTGAGTCATGAAGAAATGAAAAATCTAAACAGACCAATTATTAGCAAGGAGATTGAGTCAGTAATCAAAAATCTCCCAACAAACAAAAGTCCAGGACCAGATGGCTTCACTGGTGAATTCTGTTAATATTCAAAGAAGAATTAATATCTATCCTTTTAAAACTCTTCCCTAAATACAAGAGGGAAACTTCCAAGCTCATTATATGAGGTCAGCATTACCCTGACACAAAAGCCATATGACACCATGCATAAAAAAATAAATTACAGACCTGATGAATGTAAATGCAAAAATTCTGAACAAATTTATTAGCAATATTGCAAAACAAATTCCAGAATACATTAAAAGAGTTACATACCATGGCCAAGAGGGTTTTATTCCTGGCATGCAAGAATGGCTCAACATGTAAACACCACAAATGTAACCACCACATCAAGAAAATGAAGGATGAAAATAAAACAATCATCTCAATAGATGCAAAAAAGCATACGAAAAAATTCAAAACCCATTTAAGATAAAAACAGTGAATAAAGTAGGAACAGAAGAAAGATACCCCAAGTAATGACAAACCCACAGCTAACATGGTACTCAGCAGTAAAAAGCTTTCATGTTTGCTTTAAGATCAGGAATAGGACAAGGATGCCAAGTCTTGCTACTGATTTATGCAACATAGTTTTGTAAGCCCTAGCCAAACAGAACAAGGAGGTAAGAAAAAGAAATTAAAGGCATCTAATTGTATAGGAAGAACTAAAACTTGTAAAGAACTAAAACTTGTAGATAACATGATATTATACATATAGAAAACCCAAAAGACTCTATTAAAAAAAAATTGGAATCAATAGATGAATTCAGTAAAGTTGCTGGACACAAAATCAACACACAAAAACCTGTTTCATATTTATACACTAAGAATGAACCATCAGAAAGTAAAATTAAGAAAACAATCTCATTTACAATTCCACGTAAAGTGCACGATACTTACAATGCAGTGTATACCTAGGAACAGATGTAATCAAGAAGGTGAAAGACTTGTACAATGAAAACTCTATGCCATAGATGAGAGAAACGGAAAACACAGATAAATGGAAAGAGATTGCATGCTCATAGACTGAAGAATTCAAATTGTTAAATGTCAATAATAGCCAAAACATCTACAGACTTATTGGAACCTCTATCAAATGACCAGTGGCATTTTGCACAGAAATAAAACAACCCAAAAGTTTGTATGAAGTCACAAAAGACCTCCAATAACCAAAGCAATCTTGAGAAAGAAGACAAAGCTAGAGGTATCATATGGCCTGAATACAAGCTGTATTACAAAGCCAAAGTAATCAAAACAATATGGTACTGGTATTAAAACAGACACATAGATCAAAGGGATGGGATGGAGAGCCCAGAAATATACCCATACTATATGGTCAATTTATGACAAAGAGCTAAGAATATATAATGGAGAAAGGACAGTTTCTTAATAAATGGTGTTGAAAAAACTGGACTGTACATGCAAAAATGTGGGCCACATAAAAGTGGGCCCTACACACCAAGCACAAAAATTAACTTAAAATGTATTAAAGACTTGATTGTAAGACCTGAAGTCATATCACTTCTTGAAGAAAACAGGTGTTAAGTTTCTTGACATTAGTCTTGGTTATGAGGCTTCTGACATGACATCAAAACATAGGCAACAAAAGCAAAGAAAAACATGTCAGACTACAGCTAACTAAGGAGCTCTACATAGCAAAGGAAACCATCTCTAAAATGAAAAGGAAGAAAATATTTGCAAACCATATATCTGATAAGGGTAGTGAGAACTGAAAAGACATTTTTCCAAAGATGGCTAACAGGTACATGAAAAGATCAACATCACTAAAAATCAGGGCAATATAAATCAAAAACCACAATGAAGATAGCTAGTATCAAAAAAAAAAAAAAAAAAAAAAACAAAAACAAAAACAAATAAGTGTTGGCCAGAATATGGAGAAGCGGGAACTCTTGTGCAGTGTTAGTGGGAATGTAAATTGGTGCAGCCACTGTGGAAAACAGCAAAAATTAAAAGTACAATTACCATATAATCCAGAAATTCCATTTCTAGGTATTTACTCAAAAGAATGGACAGCAAGAGATATTTGAAGAGATATTTGCATACACATGTTCATAGCAGCATTATTCACAATAGCTAAAAGCATGAAAGCAAACCAGGGGTTCATTGAAGGATTAATAGTTGGCAAAGAGTCATCTAGACATACAATAGGATATTATTCTGCCTTAAGAAGAAAGAAAACTCTGCAACCTGGATGAACCTTGAACATGTGCTAAATGAAACACAAAAAACAAACATATAAATCCACTTACATGAGGTACATAGAGTCAAAATTATAAAGACAGAAAGTAGAAAAAGGGTTGCCAATGGCTGGGTGGAAAGGAGTAATGGATAGTTATTCTTTAATGAGTATACAATTTTATAAGATTTACAAGAGTTATGAGAATGGATGGTAGTGATAGTTAAAATAACAATTAAGCTTATTTAAACCATTGCATTGTGCACTTAAAAATGGTTTGGATGATACATTTTTTTGCTCAGTGAATTAATACAATAAAAAAATAATTAAAAGAAACAGCCCCCTCCTTCCACACACACACAAGTACCCCTCAGAAAAACACACTGTGAAGTGCTTATGCATCATCCCTGGCCATTAGGGGTTGGAGAAACAGTCCTGTTGTTCCCAAAATGCACACCAGGATGAAAACCCACAAAAAAATACGATCAATAACCATGGCAACATACTTCCAATCGTCTTGAATCTGAAAAACAAACAAAAAAAAAATCGTGAAAAAAGGAAACACAAAATATGAAGGAAAAGCAGAGCGAACACAAGTTTGATATTGAATATTCATAAAAATGTTGCAAGTAATAAAAGACACGACATTCTATCTCCATAATAAGACATCTCTTTTCCCTAATTGTTGTAATCTGAGAAAATCTACATTCTTTTTGTTTTTTAATGGGAAGGAACTTTAATACAATCAGGAAATAATACACAAAAGGCAAAGAATATAGTTCCTAAATCAACCACCCAAAGTTACCCGTCCCCTCGTGGGTAAAAGTCCACCCAAGCAGGATTGGCCCCAGAGCCTGTCACAACAAGGCCCCAAAGCCTGTCACAAGTCAAAAGCATCTACATTCTTAAATTTATCTTTATGCACTAGAGAAATAAGTGTATTTGTCATGTTAAATGTCATAAATCAGAAATTTCTCAATGTGTGTATAATCTATATTTCCTAATTGAATTCCAGTTCAGAAAGTTAGTAACCATTTCTTTGACTTACACATCTGTGGGAGGATGTAAAATGTAGGCCACTGTTAGAAAAATGAGTACAATTCAACATCATTTAGCATTACTCTTTCTTATACAGCTTTAGATACTAATTTCCTTTTAACATCTGTTTCCAAAATGAAATAAGCACATCAGAGAAAGCCCCTGACTATTTTCTTTCCCACTACCCCTTTCCACAATGTCCAAAATATCATGCAATAAGTACTGTACCATTATTGAAAAGGTTGAAAATAAGAAATAATTGCTAACAAAATAAAAGGTGGAAGAAGGAACAAGAATAATTGTATACTAATACAGCTTCAATGCAGGCTTAAAATAGGAAGGAGGATTATATGTTAATTATACCCCTAGACAACTCTGAAAGCAAGGAAACCATAATTGAATTGAAAAAGAGAGAACCCATGAATCAACTGGTTTTGATGAAATAATCCCATAATAAAGGGCAGCATGTGATTTGGTAATTTAATGCAGTGCATTGAAAAGGGACTGGGAGACAAGGATTTTATTTCATCAATATGAGCTTGAGTAAATGTGATTTCTTGATGACATTGAGTCAGAGCTAACATGAGAATTATAATGCCAAATTTGCCGTGAGGTACTTCATTTGAATTCCTGAGACTCTGGTGTGGGTTTCAAGTATACGACAGACCCTGTGATTCCTGCCCACTTCCTGCCCGCTAAAATTCCCAAGGGTCTTGGAGGAATGTGGGTAGAAAAGCAGATTTGGAGACAAATGTAATCTCACCTCTTTCCTTTCTTGTAAAAATGTGGGTAAATGATGCGACCTCTTTTGGCACCAATTTCCTCATTTGTAAAAGGGGATAAGAACAGTACCTGCCTCAGAGGGCTGTAATGAGGATTAAATGAAATAATGTGCCTGGCTCCTTACTGAACAACACCTGCTGATATTAATGATGATTTAAAAATGATCCTCATCTAGTATAAATCTCACTCTGACAGTAATTTACATGGTGAAGAAAGACAGAACTGAGGTCTTACACATGAATCCAGAGAGTGCCGCCAGAAGATCTGGATGATTAATTTTAGGTCTAACTCATTCTTTAAGGCATAATGACACTGGCCAGTCTCTGGAAACTTTGAAACTAATGATGAGTATTTGGGTAGATGAGTTGTAGGTAAAATGGTGGGCGAGGCCTGGTGAGAGTAGCATGGGGTGTCAGAGGAGGGTCTTGGTAGAAGGCAGGACAGGGAGAGCTTTGGAGTTGTGCTCTTTTCTCCTCTACCACTTGGTGTGTTCTTAGTCCATCCCCAGCCCGGAGATTCAGGTGGGGTAACTTGTGAGTAAAGCCGAGTCTGGCTGAGGGGAAGAGTTGAGAACAGAAGGTTCTCACGGACAGAGGCTTCCCTCCCCCACTTTCCCCATCAAAAGTGGAGCAATTTCAGTCAAGAGAAAGGGAATTGGAAAGTATTAGACCAGTTGGGAGTGGAGAGAAATCTTCCAGGGATAACGCCACGTGGAAGGGAAGCAGCTGGAAAGAGCAACCTAGCCCACACTGCTGGGGCAGTCCCCTGCCTGGTGGAGCCTGGGTGGCTCCCTCCCCAAAACAAGTCAGCAAGCATGGCTGACACCCTCAGAAAATGTGAGCTAGCAGGTCCCAAATACATCAACTGAGCTGTTCATTCAAAGATAATTCATGGAGCTGATTGGTGAAGGACTTAAACATGATCTCCTCAGAGATGACACAATACTGGAAACAAGCAGTTTTGAAAGAGCAAAGAGGAAATACAGTGTGAAAATAGACAAGTTGCAAAGAAGAACTCAAGGGATGTGATAGCTGGCAGGGGTTGATACAGCCCAGAAAAGAAAACAGGCAGGTGGCAGATGAGAATGAGGAACTCTTCCAGGGGGTTGGCAGAAGGAATGATGTGGGAACTGTAAAAGAAAAGCTAAGAGATATAGAGACCAGAAGCAGATGTGTCCAGGTCTGTGCAACAGGAGCTTGGGGGAGGTGAGGAAGAAATCTTCACAGAAATAACTGATTCCCTTAGAATTAAAGATGAAAAATCTCAGAATAAAATGGTGCACAGGCATGTACACAGGGACTCTGGAAAGATGACAGCATAGGGAATATGCCATCCTGGTCCATTTACTCAAGTGAACTGCAGCAGAACAGTCAATGACCCCTGAAACATAACAGGATGACTACAGCATGTGTCAGGAGCAATGGTCCGGTAACTATAAATGAAAAACTGTAATTGGAAAACTGTGTGGAGGTTCCTCAACCTGCTAAAGATGGAGCATCCATATGATCCAGCAATTCCACTCCTAGGTATTTAACCAAAGGACACAGAATCGTTAATTCAAAAGGGCACCTGCACCCCTATGTTTATAGCAGCACTGTTTATAATAGCTAAGCTATGGAAACAACCCAAATAGATGACTGGATCAAGAAGATGTGGTACATGTACACAGTGGAATATTACTCAGCAATCAAAAAAGATAAACTCTTGTCATTTGCAGCAACATGGATAGAGCTGGAAGGGATCATGCTCAGTTAAATAAGCCAGAAAGAAAAAGAAAAATACCGGAAGGTCTCACTCATAGCAGGAATTTAGAAAACCCAAATAAGGGATCAGGAAAAGGACTAATTATAATAAAGTAAAAATCAAAATCAACAAGCAACTATAAACCAGAAACACAGTACGGGGTCGGAAAGGGTGGCGAGAAGGGATTAGGATCAAAACAAGGTGGGTGGGAATTGTACGGGGACTATAACCAAGACGAAAATGCAGACATTGTACAAATACGAAAAATGATGTACAAACTATATAAAAGAAAAAAAAGAAAAACTGTCTTTAATTGAACTGTGTTTGCAGTGGTACTGGGGTATCACCACCCACAGGAGGGGAGGGTGCCTGGCAAATGGAGCCCCTATGGTTGTTGAATCAGGGGCTGTAAGGAAAATGGAGTTAATTAGGCCCTTTTTTTGCCTTCCCGCCTTTAGCCTTGACAGCCGCCACCTGTGGCCTGTTTTCTCTTAGGTTATGTTGCCCACATTGATAACATGTTATTGCAAAAGGTGCTTGGGAGTGTGAGCACGGGGCACCTGTACTTATAAGTACAGATGCCCAGGGCAAGGAGTGTGAGCATGGATACCTGAGCTAAGATGCAATCATTATGAGATTAAAGAGAGAGAGAAAAGAAGTCCGAGGGAATATGAAGATCAAGGAAGGAGGGAGCTCAGAGGCTTGGCTGCTGCCTGCCTCCCAGCCTCCTTGCCTCCCTAACTCCCTACCTCTCTGCTTGCTGTTCTAACTGTATCTGGTCCCCTGCTTCAGCATTAAAGAGCTGTCAAATCTACAGAGGGTTCCAAAATTTCTTTTTTCATTTGCCCAAATCAACAAGGAACCTGGCCTGCCCTGCAACTGGTTGCCCTACTACAAGGGCACATACCCACAGTGAGGACTCTGGAGACCTGTGTAGGGTAAGTAAAGTATCGGGCTTTTCTGCCCTCCCGCCGTTAGGATTAATGATGAATTCTGCGGTCCTGAATGCATGCCTGATGGCGGGCACCTGGAGTGGGGTGTGGGCATGTGTAGGTGGGTACACCTGGGCTGAGAGACTGGGCTTATAAGAGCGGCGTCACCGGGATGCCAGCGGAGAGTGAAAGGAGCAGAGAAGCAAAGGCCATGAGTGTCGGAGAGCCCAGGAAGAATGAAGACTCGCCTGGGGCTGGGAGGCCTGCCAGCCTCCCCCCCACCCCCCCAGCACCCCTGCCTGCCGTGTACCTGGTAAAAGATCAATAAAATCCTGAAAAGCCACTGAGGGCTCCAGGACTCTCTGTTACCCATCTGCTCCAGTCATAGAGATCCTGCTCTGGCCCATCCTGCCACTACACCTGGTACTGTGTTGCTTAAGGGGGTGCACAGAGTTGGATGCAGGACAGAGGTTGCACTATTGGAGAACTAGAGGAGCAGGGCATGGAGTAATGATGACTGGTTTGAGCCTGTGCTTCCAGTAGGGCACAGCTGGGGCTTGAATCAGCAGAGAAAACCAGGTTAGATCACTTGTGTCTCCTTCTAGAAAAGGTATTTTTGCAGCCTGAAGCTACGATATTCGAAACACCTGCTTAACCTAACTTGTGGGGGAGGGGTAGAGGGCAAACCTGAACCAATGCTGGAATGCTTTCACTAACCAAAAATTTAAGGATCTTGGGGCCTCCCCGGTGGCGCAGCGGTTGAGCGCTGGGTTGTGAAGCTGCCCGCAGCCTCTGCAGTGCCGGTTCGATCCCCGGCTGCTCCCCGGCCACCGGAGGAGGGTCCCGCATGGCGCGCAGACCTCTCCTGCCGCCCGCTGCTCCCCTCAGCAGTGTGCTTCGGTCCTTCTGCCTGCTCTGCTCCCCGCTCTGGCTCTGGTGAATTCTCTCACCCTCCTGCACTTCTGACTGTACCCAGTGCTTGTATGAATAAATAATAAATAAATAAATAAATCTTTAAAAAAAAAAA